GTTGAGTGGTGATGGTACGAACCTGACTCTGCAAGCAGCCTGCTGGGAAATTACGCAAAGCTTCAACAAGCTTTCGAACGAGGGTCTGGTTTTGCACGACTTGCCCTCAATGGGAGGAGGACCTGTGCTCTGACTGCCATAAGCAAATGTACTTTAGCAAGAATACAGTATACAGGGTTTGGATTTGGATTCGAACATGTTCCATTCCTAATGTATCCCAGGTGATCCGGCTACATTTCTTCGTGGCTGGCTTTCGCGGCGACTGGAAGGCTCTTCGGCAATCCTTCAACTTCAACCGCTATGCCGACCGAGACAAGGCGGGCTCGACTCAAGACTTCAGTTCAACAACACGAACAGTTCTCCGTGTGGCTATTTTTTACCATCATCTAGCAATAATAGTTATAATCATAAACAAAGGGAATCCAGAAGTATAGGCCATTAAGCCCCATAAATGATCTTCCTCGTCATTTTGTGATGCATTCCCTTTGCAAGATCTGCTGGATGTGCGAAGCGACCAAAGGCGCTGAGGATGATGCAATGGTGTTTTTACAAACCTACATACAGCGCCGTACATGCAAACGCTTTATCAGCAAGAGCCCTGGACCTACAGACCAGCTTATCACAGTTTGGCGGGCTTCCATCCAAGCCTTATCTTTCCTGATATTTTGCACTGCTACCACCTGGGCTGTGGAAGAGACCTCTTGGGATCAGCCATTGTTATAATGATCATGGCTGGGTTTTTTGGACTGGGAACCATCCCGGCTAAGCTGGCTGAAGCTACACGTCGACTCAAGCTGTATGCCCAAAGCAACAAGCTGAACCTTCGCTTGAAGAAACTCACGAGAAAAAAACTGAACTGGACGGGTGCGAACAAGTACCCGGAGCTGAACCGACGCTGCAATTCTGGTTTTTCTCAATCTGTATTTTGAAAGTAGTATTAAACAAATAGATTTAGCATAAATGATTTGAAGTACCCAAATAGGAAGAGTTCTGGCTTCGACTCCTACGTCGTGCAGCAGTTTTTGTTGCATGAGATTTATAATTCGACGGACACCTCGAATTTGGATCGACGACTCATTTTGGCATTGTGGGCAAGCAATCATTGCATCACTCTTTGGTCGAACTCGACCGGGAGATTTCTCACTGGTGATGAGATTCGCAATGTGCGCGAAGCTGGCATGCTGTATTTGAGATCCTATTGTGCTTTAGCAGAGGAGGCAATTGGCGAGGAGAGACGATTGTATCGCATCCGCCCAAAGCTCCACTTGCTGCACCACCTATTTGTAAAGAACGGCTGTGTAAACCCGCATTGTTACTCGACCTGGATGGACGAAGATGCTCTCAAGCATCTTATGAAGACATTGCGGGGCACAGACCGACGGACTGCCGAAGAGCGTCTGTTACAAAGGTGGCTTTTGGGTCTACCGTCGAGCTTCGAGGCAGTCCGTGGAAAAATGAGGGCCCGGCCGATCCCAGGACGGCCAGCTCGTCGATGCTCACATAGGGGGCGAGGGCTTTCAGGCTTTAAAGCCTAAATTGGCCTAAAATTAGATTCAGGATCCCGGGGCCCGGGGTTCAGAAGATCGACTGCAGGATTGGTGCATACATTGGGGCTTTGAAGCTTCAAATCTCTTCGACACTTCGAAGCATATCTCTCTCGATCCCTCTCCCTCGCGGATTCAGAATTCAAGCACAATCAAAATCCCAAGCCTCAGCCCCCTCGAATTAACCCCCATAGCCGTAAACCCGAACTCAACCTCCGAGCCCAAACCCGGAACCCAAAACCAACAGCTTTCAGGGAGTCAAGGGCTTTCTCGAGTGTGTGTGTGTGTGTGTGTACATATGTGGATATGTGACATATATATATATATATATACGTATATTTAAATACAACCACAAGACCCTAAAGCCCCTAAAGACCCTAAATCCTTAACCCTGCCCAGGTACATGGCTCAAGGTTTCCGCTCTGATGCCCATGATGCTATAAATGTTAGGGCTCTTTTTTTTTGTCTGGCTCAAGCGTTTCCTTTGCTCTTGATGCTCACGGCTCAATACGTGAGGCTCAAGCGCTTGTGATGCTCTTGATGTGTACTTAAAGGCATGTGATGCTATGATGCTTACCTTTCGAAGGTTTCGTGTGGCTCAAGCGTTTGTGCTCAAGATGTGTAGGATGCTCAGGAACGACCAATTCCCAAAACCGTATGTCCATGAAAAAAATGATTGCCCACTTGTGGCTTGTTTCGTGTACGCTCCGGGTATGGCCACCAAGATTATGGTCAAACGGACTCCCAGGAAGGCAGAATCTGTTCGTGAATGAATCGGCGACCGCGGAACATGGGACAGACCAGCTCCAAAACGTGGCCGACGAATCAAACCAATTGGGGTCGACAGCGTCCTCATGAAAGACTAGAGTGACTAGAGGGAGAACACTGTCGCGGATGAGCTCCGATCGCGAGACATTCAATGAGCCCAGGTACACTTGGTCTCCCTCATTCTCCCACCACTGTCTCAGTGCGTCCGGGTGGCTGATGAGTGTATCTCTTTGCGTCGCTCAAAAACGTTTCTGATGACATCTGATGGAAGCACAAAAGAGACCTCTTCTTCGACCACCCTGACTGTCGTGGATCTCAGATCGATCAGGGGCACTTCGGTGCAATATGGTTCGAATGGTAGCCTCGCCCACTTCCAGAAATCTCGCTCTTGCTTTGTCCCAGCCAGTTGCTGCTTCGATTTGCCTCGAGCTCCGTCTTTCAAGAATGCAGCAGTAATCGCAACCCCTTTCTTCAAGGAGAGGCCCTCAGTTCCCAAGTCCAATAAGAACCACAACAGCCCAGTACACAGTACTGTTTATGAATGCCATGGTTCTTCATGGAGCCGAATAATTATCAGGTGTCCAAATAGGATTAACTTCATCGGAACTGAAATAAGGATTTCGGAACGACTCTGCAGCAGGGGCTCGCCAGCACCGACCTCCTCGGCCACAGCTCGAGCTCCTGCAGTAAATTCCTCCAGTCTCCTGAGATCGATATATGGGCGGGACTGTCGGGCTGCTCGTGATCAAAAAAGTCCGAGATTCAGGGTATCGAGCAATAGGATCATATGACAAGAGATTGAATTTGTTTCACCAGATACCGGAGTGCACGGGCAGGACAGCTTTTGTATATACAACCGAAGATATCTACCAATTGATTCGCAGCCAACATATTGGATATCCTGGGCATTCTAGCCTAGGTGGAATTTCCGGATATTGGCATCGATATGGGATCAGGGGTCTGTTGATCTTGTTGCCATACATTCAATTCTCATTTTGTGACACGGATTTGGAGTTGCAGTATCAAGCGGCCTTGACCGCATCTACTCCGAAACGATATTGAGCTAGGACGATTTGAAAAGGAATGATTCATTTCATATTGCAACATACGGGATTTTCGGAGATTCAGGGTATATTGAGTTAGGATTATATGACAAGATAGAGAATTTTGTACCACCAGATACCGGATAGCACAGGAATGACAGCTGTTTGTATGACCGAAGACATCCACCTTGCAAGTTCCAGAGGATTTGCGACACAGCCTACATTGGATATCCTGGGCATTGTAGCTTGATGTGGGATTTTTGATTATTGGCATCCATATAAACTCAGGGGTCTAGTGATACTTGTTGCCGTATATCCATTTCTGACTTTGTAATATACGGATTTGGAGTTACGAGTGTCAGGCGGCCAGACCGCAGCTAATCCGAAACGATATTGAGCTATGATGATATGAAGCGAATTACTTCAATTCATTTGCCAACATACCGGAATGAGCAGGAATTACCACAATGTGTAAGACTGAAGATACAGTTTCTGAAATGTCAGGTGGCAACGATACACTAGGAATTCATGGGCAATACAAATTGGGAATTCATATTTACTACAACGAGCGAGCCGTACCGATGTAAGGGTTTAGGGGGTCTTAGGGTTTAGGGTTTAGGAGGGCTTAGGGTTTAGGGTTTAGGCTGGCATTGGAGTTATTTGTGGTTTAGGGTTTAGGGGGTCTTAGGGTTTAGGGTTTAGGAGGGCTTAGGGTCTTAGGGCTTAGGGTTTAGGAGGGCTTAGGGTTTAGGGTTTGGGGTGCCTTAGGCGGCATTTGTGGCTTAGGGCTTAGGGGGGCTCAGGGTTGTTTTTAGGGTTTAGAGTCTTGGGCTTCGGGGTCATAGCCAAGCAGCAGATGCGTGATGCCCGGCATTCTGGCCAGCCCTACAGTGCAACGGGCACAAAACGGCACATCATGAATGCCACGACTCCAAACTCCAACAACGAATATCGGCCAAGCATCAATCTAGGGGGATGCACAGCGTCCGCAGGCCGTGCGACATGCTCGCGGGGCAAGTACCTGGAACGTTGCAAAAGGGCACATGCATGACACCTGTTGGGCTGCTTGTTCAGCGCCCTTGGAGGCTGCTTTTTCAGCGCCTTCCCTAGGATGGTTCTGGCCAACACTCTTCATCGCTGCATGTTTTCTTCCTCGCGGTGTCACCGAAGCGTGCCCAATCGGCAACTGCTGGCGAGCCCTCCAGGCTTGCGATAGAGAATGCCGCGAGTGATCAAACCCCTGCCGCAGTACTTCTGACAGTGCGGCAACCACTCTGCCGACGGATCCATTTGCCCTTTCTCTAGAGGCTACGTACCCTAAAGCGGTAGGCTTGCAAGCTAATCCCATACACTGCTCATGCCAAACTCGATCCATCGACCACGGGTGGCTGTTCTTGGCCTTCTTTTTAGCCGAACCTTTGGTTTTGCATGTGAAGGCTGCCGCGGCCACACAAGCAGCATTTGATTCTTTCTCCTTGGCCAAAAATGCTCGCGCAAGCGGCAGGAAAGCTTGAACATCTTCAATGCCCTGGTTGATCAGCGTCTGCACTTGGGTGTAGATGGACCTGGGCTCTTCAGGGTTCAGGGGTACCGGTGTTCCCAGCAGACAAACATGCTCAAAGAATCATGGAGGCTTTCTTTTGCTTCAATCCTGCAAGACGGGGAGCTTGAAGGCACCATGGCGCTCTTTGAGCTCGGGTGCCAATTTCTCGCCGTAAGAGAAAGGCTCGATGGCGGTAGCCAGCCCTTGGCACTCGTTGGATTTGGCCAATGCCTTGTTGGCCAGATCTCTGGCCTCGATTGCGCACCACCATACTAAACAAAACTCTCTGGTCGGCCAGGCACTCAAAAACGAACACCGGTGCATGCAGTCACAAAGCAATCAAAACTGAGCTGGGGCGTGCTAATCTCGGTCTTCTTGTTCAAGCCACGGCCGGAGTTCTGCCTCTGGACCTTCGCCTCGGACTTTCCACCACCGGGCTTGGCGGGCGACGGAGTTCCGGCATCACTTGTACTCGGAGTTGGCGAAGGGGCAGCAGGCTGCGGAGCGGCAGCAGGCAGCTGCTGCGGTGCGGCACCTGGCAGCTGCTGCGGCGCGGCAGCAGGCAGCTGCTGCGGTGGGGCAGCAGGCAGCTGATGCGGTGGGGCACCAGGCTGAGCAAGCGGTGGATCGGTCGGATTAATCACTTTAGCAGCGGCTGCGAAATTCAGCTTGGGTTGCTTGGTCTCAGGAACCGTCGCGGAATCCTTCACGGCTGCAGCCTCCAACAAGTCCGGCTTGGCGAGGGAGTATCCTGACATGAAGGTCTGAAGATCACCAGGGGAAGCGGCATTGGCGTCCATGCTACCACGAAGTGCCCTCTCTTCTCTGCTGCCACTTGAAAAAATATGCTTCTGCTTCGCCATCAGAAAAAGCTCGCCGTCGGTGACGTTGCTATCAACAACGACAAGGCCTTTTGCCCGCTTCTCCGCCATCAAAGCATCAGCACGATTTCCATACTTCTCCCTCACCTCCAACTCCGTCCAAGGCTCCAACGAGGAGCGGGCCATGCTCTCTGTGATCTTGGTCTCAGCCATCTCCATCTTGAGCTTTGCCCCCACCTTGTCGAAGCTTCCGCCGGCCTCAACCAGCATCGTGATCATCTTGGTTTTCGAGGTGCCTCCATCACCAGTGAGGTGCGGCTGTAGCCACTCTGGCAGCTCCTTCAGTCTTGGGCCAGCGCAAACCCTGAACAGCAAGTTTGCTGCTGCTCGGCGGGACATAGACAGCGTCCCCTCCTTCGACTCATCGCCTTGCTGGGTGGCCATCCTCGAAGCGGTCGGAGCTTTCGGGTCTGCCGTGGAAGCAGGTGCTGCAGGACTTGTTGGCTGTGGCAGTGGATCAGGTTTGGGCGCTGATGCCCGCAGAATAGATGTCGGTGGAGTCGGCGGAGCAGGCGCCTGTGCCACCGCTGGCGGATTCGGTTTCCCTGTCGCGGACTGCAAAGCTGTCGGGTCTGCCGCGGCCCGTGGAGCAAGTGCCGGCGTTTTCGGCTGCAAAACTGTCGCATCCGCAACATCGGTAGCCTCACTCGGGGGCAGCTCATGCATCCATCCGAGCCTTTGCAGCTCGGTGTCGTTCAGCTCCGCGGCGTCGTTCAGCTCTGCGGTTTTCCTTTTATTTCGAAGCTGCTCTAGCTCTTGCCTCAACTGTTGGAGCTTCTGCTGCTTCTCGTTCTTGCGGGCAATCTTCGCGGCTCTCGCAGCCTCCACAGAATCGACACGAAGCTGTTCCTGTCTCAATCGTTCTGCTTCTGCGGCTCGCCGTGCCTCCTCATCCACTTGCTGCTGTCTCAGCCGCAAGCTCTGCTTATCGTCCTCCTCCTTCTGCAGTTTCTGCTGCATCATTTTCTGCACTTTCTCATCCTCCGCCGCCCGGCGAAGCTGTTCCTGCCTCAATCGTTCTTCTTCTTCTTGGGCCCGCTGTCGTTCCTCCGCCTGGAGAAGCTGTTCCCGCCTCAATCGTTCTTCTTCTTCGGCCCGCTGTCTTTCCTCCGCCTCGCGAAGCTGTTCCTGCCTCAATCGTTCTTCTTCTTCTTGGGCCCGCTGTCGTTCCTCCGCCTGGAGAAGCTGTTCCCGCCTCAATCGTTCTTCTTCTTCGGCCCGCTGTCTTTCCTCCGCCTCGCGAAGCTGTTCCTGCCTCAAACGTTCTTGTTCTTCTTCTTCTTCGGCTCGCTGTCTTTCCTCCGCCTGGCGAAGCTGTTCCAGCCTCAACCGTTCTTCCATCTTCAACCGTTCTACTCGTTCGGCTCGCTCCCTTTGCTCCTCCTCTCTCCGCACCCTGGCTTCGGTCAACTTCTCGGCCTTCTCAAATTGAAGCTCTTCCAGCAATCGTAGTTCTTCGGCACGTTTCGTTTCTTCTTTAAGCAGATCCAACGGTTTGTCATCATCAGAGTCGGATGCCATCTCTGCCAGAAGCTCTGCGACCTCCCGCTCCGCTTTCTGCTCGGGCGTCTCGACATCTGCCTCGACCTCCAGGGCAGGTGCCGTTACAAAGACATCCACACTTACGGGAGACAGGGGAGACAGAGCAAGACAAGGCACAGTGTCTTCATGAAACTTGTGCACGGACAAATCGTGTCCGTGCACAATCGATCCGCCTCCTCGTTCTGCAGATTGCCAATCTCCCTTTCCAGGAGAGCAATGAGCTCCCGCTCCTCGTCCTCATCCATGGCCTAACACGTTCGAGCGTCTGCATCAGGCATCATATTGCAACATCCCACACCCTGCCTCGTCACCAGCAGCTGACTCCTGCGAGTTGGCCGCAGCTGACTGCTGCGAGTCGGCCTCGTTCAGCAAGCATATGTGCAGAACATCGGTGAAGGACGTGATGCACACAAGGTCCTGAAAAAAGTCAGCCCCGCACGGCAATGGTGGGCATCGAATCCATGTGTCTCGTCGGAGGAGGAGCGGGCAACAGCCTGCCCATTTTCACATCATCCACCTTGTCCATTTCTTCCAGCTTCACGCGAAGCTCGGGATCCATGGCCGTACACGATCATGCATGTGCCGTCTCGAGAGGCAAAGCATCGAAGTGCGTCGCAACATGTTGGCTCCAAGCCAGCTGCAAATTCCATGCCCCGACCGTAAAGGCTGCTTGTTCAGCGCCCTCTGAGGCTGCTTGTTCAGCGCCTTCCATCCCGCTATCAACGGGCTCACGAAACCGGACAACGTGCATGGCGTCTGTGCGTGAAAGCATGTGAATAGAATGTCTATGTGATTACACACACGTATGCATATCCAGGTCGGCACCCATTCATGAGACCAGTTCGCTATGGATGCATATATTAATATATTAATATTAATATATATATATATATATATATATATATATATATATATTTATTTATTTATTTATTTAATAATATATTTATATATTAATAATTTAATATATTATTATTTTAATATATAAAAATATGCATATATTAATATAGTAGTATAGTAATATCTCTATATTAACGGGCTGACGAGACCGGACAACGTGGCGTCTGTGCGTGAAAGCATGTGAATAGAATGCCTATGTGATTACACACACGCACGCGTATCTAGGTCGGCACCCTTTCATGAGACCAGTTCGCTATGGATGCATGTATTAATATATATTAATACATTAACATATATATATGTTAATGTGTGTATATATATTAATATAATTTTATATGAATATAATAATCTAATGATATGTATATATATACATATGTATATGTGTGTATATATATATAATGTATTAATATATATTAATATAATAATATATGAATATAATAATGTATTGATATGTATATATGTATACATATATATATATATATATATATATATACATATATATATATATATATATAATTCCGGTAATGGTACTACCGATATCTAGTAGTATAGTATTATTGCCAGATCTCATCTGAAGTAGTATAGCAGCATCTCCGCATGCGAGCATGTGCGTATGTAGCGACATATGTGCATGGTGCGTATATCTAGGTGCGTGTATGTATGCGAACATGCATAAGGGAATCGGCATGATTTGCATGTTTGCTAATATGCAGAGGGAGATGTGGAAGGCTATATATGTATATGCGTCAACATCATGTTGATGCGTATGTGTGTGCGTGTGCATGCACATACACACCGATTGTTTTGTGCATCGTGGGTATGCATTCCAGAAATCATGTTCTAGGCCGTGACGAGGTCGTGACGCCGTCACGTGTGCTATTGTTCATATATGACTAGAGGCCGTGACGGCGTCACGGGTTGGTCACGGGCATTCTGGTGTGTTCAGTGTGTCTGCAGACATACAAAGGGGAGTCGTTGTCATTCTATGTTTCTGAGTACAGAAGTATAAGCGGAAAGTCAAGCATGTGTGTGGCAACATCCCGCGATCACAATTCTCCGTTGCTGTCATGTGCACCACGACAGAGAGTAGTTGTTCCTGCTGCACGGATCCGGTGTGATACGCACGTTTGTCGATATGCAGAGGTAGATGCGGAAGGCTATGTA